AAACAAGGATAATGCCACTTTCTATTCAATCTGAAATGCCATTTGATTATAAAATGCACCCTTATTTTGTTTACCTCTAAGAAAGAAAATTAATGCTGCCAATTAAGTATGATGCCATGTTTCCTTTTTTTTTTCGCCCAGAAATGGTTAAATGTGGTAAAAGTACATTTTAGAGTGGATGAAGTACTGTAATGGTGCTCTTTTCATAGGGTTATTGTGAGAGTTAAGTGAGGTGCTGCTTATAAAGCTCTTGGTGACGTGCTCGGCAATTAGTAAATTCTGTGTGAATCAATTTTTGCTTGGAACCCCTTGCCTGATCACCAGGATCTGCATTTTTCAATCAGCTGAGCCTCCTGGGACTTGGCAGAGCATTCAAGTTCTGACTTCTCCAAAGGAAGATCCTTCTATCCTCTTCTTCTTTCCCCCAGGTTCCCCCAGTTCAGGATTCCAGGGGTTGATCTTTGGTGGTGGCACGTAGCCTGGTGGGGGACAGGGACTTTCTGATCACCACTCGTTATAGTCAACTCCAGAAGCTTGGGCAAGCGACAGAGAAAGATTCTAGGGGAAAACCAAGCGTAGGCAGTGACTCAGGCCTGATTTTCCAGGTTTTAAAGAAGAAAAAGGTTTTAAAAAAGAAAAATGCCTCCTCTTGCTCTGCTTGTGAGCATGTAAATTGTGCAGCCTTCCTGGAGGGCAGTTTGGCTCCTGCATTTTAGGATTGAAAATGTGCATATCCTTGCATACACTTCTTGGAATTGCATGTGTCAAAACAATCAAAGAAGTGTACAAAGGCTTAGGTATAGGACGTTTATCACAGTACTGTTTAGGGTGTAAAAAAACTTAAAACAACTCAAATGTTCAACTAGAGAGAAATGTTAAGAATTAATTATGTGACTGCAACAATGGTATATATCACTATTAAAAATAATGTAGGTCATTTAATGACATGGGAGATGGTTCCCAAAATATTGTTTAGTGACAAAAGATGACAAAACAGTTTATGTAGTGTGATGCTGTTTATATAAAAATAGTTACATAGAAACTGATGCATAGGAAAAAAGATTCCAAATGAATTCACAAAAGTGTTAACGTTGGTCATCTGTCGGAGGAGGGACTGATTTTACATTTGTGTGCTTTGGTGTTTCTGATTGCCAGCTTCATAAAAATAATCGTAGCCATAGGTTCACAGTCAAAGTTGCTTCCAAGGTGCCTCCTATCTTTACCTTTCCCCACACTCTTTTTTTTTTTACACAAAAGGTAGCATTCTCTGCACACAGTTTTACACTGTGGCTTCTTTTTGTTGCTGTCATTGTTCCATTTAGCAGGAGGCTATATCCGTGCAAAGGGCTTCTTCATTCTTCTTTTTTTTTTATGGCTGCGTCAGAATATTCCACCGTCTGGATGAACTATAATTTATTTTAACCAGACTTCTATTGATGGACATTTACAGTGTTTCCTGTTCGGTGTGTGTGACGTAAAATTCAACACCACCACCAAGACACCCGTACAAAGCATTCTGTACCCATGTGAGCTTGTTAACAGGACACCGTCATCCCAGGCTGACTCACTGCCTTCTTCCTTCAGGACCTCTCAGCCAGGTTGGTGGGCATCCAGTCCCAGAAGGCCGAGTTCCTCATCACCTTCAAGACCATGGAGGAAATCTGGAAGTTCTCCACCTACCTGAACTTAGGTATGACACGGAGCCGACGGGTGCAAAAGCGCCTAGGTCACAGTTCAGCCAGTTTGTACGGCTTGATGTTAAGGGATTGGTTTGGCTCAGATAATTAAAAGTAGAGCCCTGACATGGACAGTTAACTTTGGAAATAGCACAAACTGCCTGGAATTAAACCTAAAGCAAATATTCACTATTACCCTAAAATGCCATGTGCAACACTTCTTTGTGTTCAGGGAGAGACTTCTTTTCTAGACAAGCAACCCATTGGCAAATAGTTATTGGTCATCCACTAAATTCAAAGTACTGAGATGGATGTGAACTTGGTGGTTTAAAAAAAAAAGGAACCAGTCTTAAGTAAGATCAAAGCAGCTGCTTAAAGTAGTCAAGTTCTGGATACTTTATCCCATGTTTTTGGAAAAGAGTCAAAGGAAGTGATGGGGGCGTTATCTGCTCCAGGGGCCTTAGTTAGGTTGCAGGTTTTCTAGAAAGTAAAGGAGGATATTGGGCACAGTACCAGTACCGCTGTGATGGGAAATGGTTCACCTACCTTCTCCAAGGAGAATAACTTGTGACAGCGAAGGTAAGGTTACAAAGCAAAATCAGGTAAAGCAAGAGGGGACCACTTGTCGCACATTGTACACCTCCCAGAAAATGCTGGACTCCATGCAGACTTACACAGGAAGCAACCTGGTGCAAGGGTTCACAGCTGAAAGGCATAACTTCTTCTGTCACCATGGTGATTTTCTGCCCTCCACACCACACACCTCCTTCTGTGACCATTAGAAACCCTCCCTATTCAGTGTGTTCCATGAACCAGTAGTATCAGCATCACATGGGACATGCTAGAAAAGTAGAATCCTAGGCCTCCCCCTAGACCTACTGAACCAACATCTGTATTTTAATAAGGTCCTCAAGTGGCTTTGTGCACATTAAAGTACAAGAAGCACATTGAAGGAAGATACACAAGGCCTCATCAGTACAACGGAGAGTCAGAATAGAAAGAGATGGGTTTTGCCACGTAAGAAATAGAGGAAGTCTCAAAAGAAGCAAAATTTTAATACAAACACTTCATGTTTATAGGCATGTTTAAAATCCTATCCGTAATTGTTAAGATATTGCAGTTTGCATAGTTTCTAGTCTGGTTTTAACAAGGGAGAGCTTACTGAGCATACGCGAGGCAGAAGGTCAGAGTGGGGACATTGAAATAAATCCTGACTCCTCTGAGAGCCATGGAGAACCCCTGTCCCAGCCCCTGCATTGTCACAGGTACAGGAATTTGAGCCTCAGGTCAGGAGAACTTTAAAGCGGAACCAGGAACCCCCAGAGTCAAATTGTAATCTTGGAGATTCCTCCATGGATGTATTTCAGAAAAAGGTAATTGGGGTTGGTCATCTCATTATGTATTTATGGGAGCCCGTGATATGTTAAAAATGGTAAATATCATTTAATATGGCTTGTATTTCCCAGCAGATGCTGAGAAGAATCAGCTCATTCTGGAAAGTTTCTAGCTACCCCTGTTACGCTCGTCTAATACCAATTCCATGGGGACGAGCTGAGGATGGAGGTCTGGGAGGGGACTTCGGGAGGGAGCTTGCTCAGCCTCCCCTGGCTCAGCTAAGGGCAGCAATCGTGTTGTTCAGGGACCCTGTGGGCTTGACTTCTTAGGCTACGTAGCTGCGTGTCTGGAGCACCTTCTCTTTGACCACAAGTACTGGCTCAACTGCAGACTGGTGGAGGATACAGAGATCCAAGTGTCAGTGGATGATAAACACCTGGAAACAATGTACCTCGGACTCCTGACACATGAAGGTGAGCATGGAGGAGGGGTGAGGGTGGGGGTCTTCTCTGGATATTTATTATCGGAGTCCCTGAGATCATTAGGATGCAAAGAGAGGCAAAAGCCATTCAAACATGATCATAGTCACAAATGAACCCAGTTGTTATACTATGACTCCAAACTTTTCTCTCTGTTGGAAGTGGACGTCATACAAACAGCTGTGCTGGCCAGTCTCACTGATGGTCCGATGTTAGAGCCACTTGGGGAATTTTCAGAAGTGCCCGTGTCAGGGCTTCACCCAGGCCAGTTAAATCTCCAGAAGGTGGGGAAGGAGGGAGGGGGCGAGCAGGCTTTTGTATTTTCTGGAAGTTGCCCAGGGAATTCCAATATGCATCCAAGATTGAGCATCACTTTCCTAAACATCTGATATCATTTGATTGTAAAATAAAATTGCAAATCTTGCAAAGCCTGAAGGATTCCATGAGATTGAAGAAAAGGTTATTGGGGAGCTGCTTCAAGCGCCCACCAGCCTGTTTACAAGGAAGGATCTGATCAAGTCCACGCCTGACCAGTCAACAACTGATGACATCACAGCCACACGAGAGAGTCAGATTTGCACAGAATCTTTTGCAAACCAATTCTCTTTATGATTGCATTGCACAAATCATATATGAAAGAAAGAATTTCATACTGTGCTCCTGTAAAATATAGTTGGAGAAATTACAGTCACCCAAATCAATGTAATTTATTCTTTGTTGGTCCTAAGATTTAAGCGTCAGGTTGCAATTATAACTGAAGTTCTGTTAAATATATTTTCATAAGTTTTTGTTTCACTTTTTTTTTCCAAGGTGAAGTCCCAATTAAACCTTAGTCTCATGCATTACTCAGAACTTTTGGTGTCTATTTTAAGTGAATTCCCTCTCAGTGGCTCTTTTCCTGGTACCAACTTCCCCGGGAGGACAAGGACCTCCTGTAGTGCCTCCCCCTGGACTGACTGTGGTTGACTCCCAGCAGGAAAAGTGTCTGGGCTCTGGAGAGAATTATCATTGTTTGATAATCTCTTTTCACTTCTTGCTACTCCTTGGAAGGGCTTTTCTCATTATCTACAGGCCACTTCTTCTGCCGAGCCACGTGCTCCGTGACCCAACCAGCTGAGAAGGAAGGCGAGTGTTTGGCACTTTGCGAGAACGAGTTAATCTCCGTGAAGATAGCTGAAGGCGGGTCGGAGTGGGAAGGCGTGTCCTTGGTGACCGGTCAGCGGGGCCTGGTGCCGGTGTCAGCCCTGGAACCCCTGCCGCTCCCTTTCCACCAGTGAGTAGCCACCCGCCTCCAGGGAGAAGGTCCTAGGGCAGACTGACATCTGTGCAGACAGAATAGGCGTGCTTGCAGATAGGGGCATCCGTGGTGTCAGGGAGGGAACAAAATCTGAGTAGCCTTCTTCTTCTATTATTTTTTTTATCAGTCAAAATTTACACAATTTGATGAAATTGGAGACAACTCTAAATGTCAATGGATGGTGTACTTAAAAGGAAATAATGCTGCCTGGTGTCCGATGCAGTATTTATCAATGTAGGCACTGGGGACCATGTGTGTCAGGATCACTTGAGGGATTTTGCTACAAATTAAACCCCCTGGCCCTTCTCAGACTTTCTTGGAGTTGGACCCAGAAATTTTGTATAAGCTCCTCTTAAACATAAGGGAACTCTTTTTCACACTAAAACATGAGAAACCCTGCTGGAAGACACTGTGAATTCAAACATACAGAGTAACAACAAAAATTACACAGCCCTGGGCCTGTGTGTGGCTCTGACAGAGAATGTGACAGTGAGAAGGGAAGGGGGTCCTTTGTGAGGTATTTAACTGACAAACTAATTGCAGAGCCAGAAAACATGACAGGCCATCTGGACTCCTCCCCTTTTCACAGCGCCCGATATAAAGTAAATTCTCAGTAAATGCCTGCCATCGTTATAATAAGAGTATTCACAGTAATACTTATCATCATCACCGTAATTGTTATTTTAATGGGCTATCCAGATCACTGTTCTAATTTTTTGAAATCCATGTTTGCAAACCCCGTGTTTCCATTGGCAGGTGGTTCCTAAAGAATTATCCAGGAAGCTGTGGCCTTTCCAGGAAGAGGGATTGCACGGGCTCCTATCAGATCGGTATGGCTGAGTTGAAGACAGGGTTGTCAGGGGGATGACATTGTCCTGCCTCCTCATTTTGTCCGCAGGTCTGGTGTCAGTCGATCTGAATTCCTGTCTCGCCTCTGCTACGGACTGGATTTGGGGAAGCCAGTGACTGTCTGGATACATGGGTTTCCTTGTCTGTAAAAGGAGAGGCCTCCATCCAGGACAGTAGATACAAATGCCTAATGGGGCAGGCAGAACACACAGACGCGTGAGGGCCTGGATGGAAGAGGTTAAGGAATGCAGGGACCACGGGGATGTAAAGATATATGGGTGAAAAAGGAGCCGGGTGTGGGCTGCCTGTTTTCAATCTCTGGTCAAAGTGTTCTTAATTTTCCTTAGAGTTTTGTGAACTTAGTCTTGAATTCAGGAACAGTAAGCAGACCTGAAAGTATGTATGTATCTATTTAGTAGATAATACATTTTTATGTTTTCAAGTTATCCAGAAAATACATTCCTTTCATCTTCATTCTTAGAGCCCCGCCCCCAGCACAAAGTACAATTTTGTAAGTTCTAAGCCCGGACTTAAATAAATAGAGGGAATTATGGAGCCCAGACACTAGATCTAGTTAATAGTCAGCAGTAAACAAGAGTTTTAGCTATCTGAGGCAGTATGGCCTTGTGGGTAGGAACGCGGGGCTGTGAAGTCAGTTCTCGATTCAGATTCTGACTCCACAACTTAACACCAGTGTGACCTCAGCCAATTCACAAGCCTCACTATGCCGAAACATCCTCATTAGTAAGTTTTCCCATAAAACCAACTTCAAACATTGTCATGAGAACTAAACTAAATGACATCTGTAAATCACTTAGTACAGTTTTCTCACAATGTAAGTGTTTTACACATTGTAGATTCTGTTAGCCCACAAAGCAGTGGGGTTTTCTGATCTTGAAGACATGATCAATAGAAACTTGACCAAAACTGTCAGAAAAACAAAAAAGCCAGTAGTTTTAGCAGAGGCGCTGAAGCAAATATGGAAACCAAAGCACATTAAAAACAAACAAACAAACAAACAAACAAACAAACAAACAAACAAACACCCATTATCTCAGCCAGAGGAGGATTTGTGGAAAGAAGGGTTACCAGCACTCGAGAGTCTAGGCCCTAATTCTAGACTCTCTCTGTGCCTTCCACTTTTTAATCTATAAAAATGGGATCCTGATAGCTGCTCTACTGACCCTTTGGGGGCCCTGGGGAGATCTGAATATCTGGACATAAATGCGCTTTGTAAACTGGACATTACAATGCTCTTAAATATCTCATTACTAGATTCTAACTAGGCGACGTATCAAGCTGGGTAATGACCATAATCTGATCCCTTTGTGCCATCTGCAGTTTTCTGTTCACCAGTGATACGAGGCTCACATTTATTGAGGGTTGACTAGGTACCAGGCATTGCATACTTGATCTCTTTGACTCTTCCTAATATTTATGAGAGACAAGTGCTTTTATTATCCCCCTTTCACAGTTGAGGAGACTGAGGGTCATAGTGGCCCAAGGAGCTGGCAGGAAATGGAGAGATCTTATGATGGTTCTCGCCCTGGCCTATGGATTTGTGCCGGCCACGATGAAGTGTTTTCATGATAATGGCCAATCAGACTAAGTAGGACCATACCGTGAGCTTTCCAGTTTTCCATAAGCTAACTTTATTCAGTTTTAAGGTATATCCAGTATCCTGAGATTATCTTTCCTATATCTGTTAAAACATCTTTTGTTTTATAAAATGATGGTGAAAGTGGATGGTAGTTCCTTTTATTGAATGTCCTAGTTTGGCAAAATGAAAAGCCCATGACCCCGTGTCTTCCCTGCCAATTTCTTTTTTTTGGAGGCGGGTGGAGACATTTTACTGGTGCTTGAAATTCTAAAGTGTGGGAACCCCTCATTCCACATTCCATTGAAAGCAAGTGGAAGGCTCAGCTCTTTCTGCCTTACTGAGTTGACCCTGTGTGCTATTTCCCTGCAGGCAGAGGAAAATGTAAGGCCTGGAAGGAATATGAGAGGGAAGAAAAGGATGAACTGAATTTCCGTCAGGGAGAAAGCATCGAAATCATCGGCTTTGTCATACCTGGGCTCCCATGGTTCATTGGCAAGTCCACGTGCTCAGGAGAAGTGGGCTTTGTCCCCACCAAGAACATAGATCCTGATTCTTATTGTCCACTGTGAGTATGATAGACAGTCCCTCTGAGATGTCCTGGGGCTGGGCTGCCTTCCCCAGCAGTTCCGCCCATTCTGAGAAGGTTTGCAGGTGAATTTCAGGGTTCCCTGGTGACATGGAGTCGGAGGAGCAAGTCTGACACAGCAGTGATAGGAGCAAGTCAGTTCAGTTCATTTCCGCAGGTGGTCATGGGGACCTTCCTCTGTGCGAGGGGACAAGCACAACCCCAAGACAAAGGCCTGCCATGGGGCGTCGAGTGTGTAATGTTGGTGTTTATATCCTGCCTCTCATCCTGTCAAATTAAGGGGCCCCATCAAGGCAAGCACGCACACGGGGCCTGTAGGTTACAGCTGAGTCCATAGAGAGTCCCTCCCATGGAGGTCTGTCTGCTGCAGTCTTAGTGGATGAAGTCGGTGTTGGCCCGGATGGTCAAGTGCATCTTTTACTCTTGCTGCCTTGAGTCCAGAAGGGCTGGTTCTGAGGAGCCCAGATGGCCAGCCTGCCCCCCCCCTCCCCCGTCACAGAGGAACAGAGCTCGCCAGTACTGCCCAGTCTCTCTGGGGTGGGCTTCCGGCATAGGAATAGGAAACGGCAGGAAGTACGCCAGGGTATGCAGAGCTGGCTGCTAACGCTGACACCACAGCCCTCCGCACCAGGAGAATGGCCCGTGGGATATCTTAGGCTCTGAACACTCAGACTGGAAACCCTTCTCTTGTGAGGAGAGCGGCCCAAGGGCAGAGCTCTCACTAAACCCTGCCTTTCGTAGGGGGAGGAGACAAAAGGCCATTTTCCCTACAGAAATGTGGGAACCCCAGTAACTCGAAACAAGGAGCATCACTCACTGAACCCTCACTGAGGAGTGCTATAGGGGTTTAGGAGGGGAGGGGTATCCAGAGAGCTTTCGTGAACAAGGTGACATTTGAGTTTAGCTCTGTACAACGTAAAACATTTCAACAGAAGGAAATGGGCAGAGGAGGTGACAGGTGGGACCATGAGGGGATGTAGAGTAACGACTCATGTTTTTTGGGGAGCAGGAAGGAGGGTGTGGCAACGTCCCCGTGGGGCCATGATGTGGGAGATAGAGAAGGCCTGTGCCGGGGCCTGTCCTTCACATGCACAGGATGGGGAGCCACTGAGTGCAAGGGGGACATGATGTGACTGGAACCTCTCTCTTGGAGTTGATCTGACTTTGGAAGAGATGTGCATGGGTGGGGGAGAACCTGGAGCAGGAGACCAGTGACAAGGCCAAGGCCATGGCACTTGAGAAGGGATAGAAGGAATGCAGAGGACAGGGTGCTGCTGAGGACCAATCAGGGGGAATGTAAAGATTCTGGGAGCTTCACAAATGCGGATACCTGTGTTCAACCCCCAATGTTCTATCTCATTGGGCAGGGTGGGGCCTGGGCAGTGATGGTTATGCAAGCTCCCCAGGTGGGGCCAGTGTTTGGCCAAGGTGAGACCACTGCTCCAAGTGGAAGTGAAGTGAGGACCCAGGAGTGAAAGGGCTGGACTCAGAGCCTTGGGTCTGGAACCCCAGAACCCAGACATTAAATCCAATGAGTGCTGCAACCGAGGTCCTGGAGAAAAAGGGAGAAAGAAAAAAGAGAACAGAGCCTTAGTGAGGAAGCGCCATTTACAGAGCAGAGGAAGAAAGGACGTAGCAAAGGAGGCAGAGGAGCCCTCTG